CTTCATGACGTGGTGCTTAATTAATTAAGCACAGGGACAACTTTACCTTTACATACAAACATACTACGAGATGAGACGTTTCTATGACAACTGGTTAAATACGGTTTGAGTTCACTTCATTGATACAAATCAGAATTAAATTTGCATATAACTTGCAATGTAGACAAACCGGAAAACCAATTTAAATTAAAATCATATTATAAGTTTCGAAGAAGGCAAACATACCTCCCAATAAGTTCTATCTACTGGGACATAACACAATGTAGGCTGGGTGTTATATCCTGGAAGATAGAGAATTTCACATATCCACCATTGTACGAACCTCGAATCCAGGACGCATATTTCCGCATTAAGTTATGTACGAACTGTGCCAAAAATAAACGCATAAGATTACACATGTATGTAGATGAGACTTCAGTATTGATGAGTGACAGTGAGTTATAGAGTAATGGAAAACCGAGAAGGTTCAACCAATAGCTGAATAGAAAGGATAGATGTGGCACACAGACCAACTACAAACAGCGGCACGAACAATTCCAAAACAACCAAACAACAGGTAAAAAAGGCAAAGCTATCCCTGTATCAGTACGTGGAGGCCTATAGGGTTGTGAGACGTCGAGGCTCCCACATTTTCTCTAAACAATTGGCTAACAAATGGCGGTGAGGTTGTCATGTATTGGCCGTCTTATAGTACACTCTATCTCACATGTCACGTCACTACATGTTTCGGCATCACCGTGCCATCCTCAGGTGCGTTATTTACGCTAAGCTATTGCATTGCTCGCCATCATGTGTCGTTCATAAAATTATTTAAAATGTCCATCCTTCATCAACTATAATAAAATTTGTATACACTAAAACTTGTTAAGATTTATCATCTTATATGTCTTAATTCAAACTCGCGTATTGTATGATTCTTCCACTATGGAAGTCGTTTTTCTTATATTGTGTATACTGTGTCTTGTGATGTGTCCTTCCAACAAGGAGACATGCCCCGTCATACCAAATAGCAATACTGTTATCTAAGACACTACAAGAATATTTACAATTGCCAAACGTATATAATAGACATAACTCCAAACAACTAATGAATGATTTAAACATCATTATTATAGATGAAAACATAAGATTATGTTCTTTTGATATAGAAAACATGTATACAAACATACCCAAGAAAGATATAATGAAAATAACTAAGAATATACTACAACACAATCATAACATAAACATAAACAAACAGAGAGAAATTACGTGCATATTGAACACTATACTAGACCAAAATTATTTTCAATATGAACAAAAATATTACAAATAAACAGATGGTTTAGCTATGGGAGCTCCAACAACTGCAATTTTAGCATAAATATATATCCAGAACATGGAACACACACAAATATACGACATATTAAAGAAACAGAACATAATTGGATATTTCCGATATGTTGAAGACATACTAATATTATATGATATAAACAAAACAAATATTGACGATATGATTATAAAATTTAATAAACTACAACCAACGATAAATTTCGCAATAGCGAAAGAGAACCAGAAATCTATAAATTTCCTAGATATAGGAATATATAGAGGAACAGAAAATTTGCAATTTTCAATCCACCGCAAACACACAGCAACGGACATAATAATACCAAGTGACTCATGTCATCCACAAGAACACAATATATCTGGTATTAAATACCTTATTGATCGAGTAAATACTTACCCCATCACCAAAGTAGCAAAAGATACTGAGATAGCCACTATAAATAACATACTCGTAAACAATAAGTACAACACAGATATAATTACTAAACTAACTATAAATAACAGAAACCAAAACATTACAAAAAAAACAGAATATTACAGAGAATTCAGAAGGGCAAGAAACGAAATGGGCAACATTCACATACATAGGAAAAGAAACAAGAAACATTACAAAAATATTTCGTGACACAAAATTAAAAATAGCATTTAGAACTGAAAATAATTTACAACACATATTAAAATCATAAACACAAATAAGTAAATATAACAAAAGTGGCATATACAGAATGAAATGCCTTCATTGCCCCATGGAATATATAGGACAAACTGAGAGTAAATTTAATACCAGATATAAAGAACACATACACGACATAAGACACAATAACAGCAATACAGGATACCCGGAACACAAACACAGGACATGCATATGGTACAATAGAAAATACTATGGATATCATAGCAACGAATAAGAAAGGACAATATTTAAACACATTAGAAAACTATCATATATACAGAACAACAAAGAAAAACACGCATATGAACAATATAAATAAAGAACTATATAACCCAATATTTCAGGAATTACACACAATTTCCACAGAACAACATAACACAACCCCACCATCTACCCCCACAACATCATAACTCAATCAATACCATCAGTACGAAGACACACACACATCCAACATTACAACGCTCGCAGCCAACAAGGAAGGACACATCACAAGACACAGTGAGTACTAAACATTATAAAACAACACGTAACAGATAGAAGTCGAAAATAATAATAATAATAATAATAATAATAAGTACCATTTTCACGTTGCAGGTATAAACAATATAGGAAAAACGACTCCCATAGTGGAAGAATCATACAATACGCGAGTTTGAATTAAGACATATAAGATGATAAATCTTAACAAGTTTTAGTGTATACAAATTTTATTATAGTTGATGAAGAATGTACATTTTAAATAATTTTATGAATGACACATGATGACAAGCAATGCAATAGCTTAGCGTAAATAACTCACCTGAGGATGGCACGGTTATGCCGAAACATGTAGTGAAGTGACATGTGAGATTGAGTGCACTACAAGACGGTCAATACATACATATCATGGACGAGAATCAGTGCAACAGGACGCTAAAATACAACATGATTAGGTAAACTGAAAACTTGAGTGACCTCATCGCGAATCGAACCCGCGACCTTCCGGCTTTTAGCATACTGCCTTAACCAACTACGCTACTGAGTGCCCCCAACCAAATAACAGGAAGTTATAAAACCACTGCTCATTAACTTAACGTCCTATGTAAAAGTCGCTTATTATAGGTACAAATCAAACTACGAGAGTGTTCAAGTTACAATTCAGAGTGTTGTACACGTAGTTTGTGACTCGTGACATACGTGTTACAGGCATTAAAAAGGAGTGTCTAGGAATTAAATACATAATAATATTATATTTAGACACACTCCAACAGCAGAGGTTAATGCGTATATATACATATGATATTTTAAAACCAATTGATGGCGGAAATAAGAGGAATTATTACGACTTGTAATGGGGTGTAGGCAATTAAGAAACCTGTGACGAAGACTACACACAGCAGAATGTAAAATCACTTAAGCAAACTTTCCTATTTACGCTTTTCTTCTTCTAATTCATTACAGCCCCTCAGTAGGCCCTATATGTCTTTCTACTAACAGTAGGAACCATATTTGGAGATAACATTTTAGCTACTTGAAGATCTGGTATTTACGTAACGATTACAAAGTAAGCAGGCCAGCGTTGGTCACCAGACAGGATGGCACATATTTACATGCATACAAATTGAACAAATTGAACAGCTAACACAAACAGCATAAAATAATTTCTTAACCAGTCCGATCAAGTAGCTGCGTCAACTAGCGTACATACGAGTACATCTAGAATCATAAGAACAACGAGATCTGTAATGAAGTGTAAGAATGCAGTGATACAGCTTACGATGCTTCAGTACCATTCGGAAACTCGTTGCTGATTGGTATTTATAAGTGTCGTTCAGAATTTCGTAACTCATTTGTCTAATATTCGTATGCTTTACTTGTACAAAACCGATATAGTGGAGCACCCTGTATTCGGATAGGCTGGGAAACAGGTCGCTGTGGGTAGCAGATATCTGTTACAGAAACGGGTAAAGATATTGCAAAATAACGAAAGAATACATACATAATGTCACATCAATAAAAAAAACCGGGCTACATACGCACGGCAGATTTCCACAATAATCGCCGCCAGTCTGTTTCAAATGAGCTCAAGTCGTGAACTATGCCACAGCTTGTGACGATGATACATTAGTAAAAATATTCTGTTTTTAGACATTATCCAACGTCTTGTCTTTATCTAAATACCGTTTTATTTATTTTTCGAAAAAAAAAAAAAGCGTTTCGGAGACTGGATTATGTCTCCGTCCCTATCGACTTGGCCTAACTGAGTAGTTTTTACCTGAAGACGTCGATAGAATCCACTATCCGAAACGTTGTGTTTCGAAAAATAAAGAGGACGGTTTTTAGATAAAGACAATACGACTGATATTGTCCAGAAACATAATATTTGTGCCACAGCTGCCAGGGAAGCGGCACCAGCCGCGGTGGCAACCGTGGCAATTCAGATAGCCGGTGCTTGCCTGAACATATCCGCAAGCCGTTGTCTAATACGCTTTGTAATTCACGAATGAAATACAAGTTACTTCCCCATGCTGTTAGCACACTGCGAAGAAGGGTGGGAACAATAATAAGACGAACAAACGACGCTTAGAGAATATTACATTCCAGCGCACCAAAAGTGAGAGCATCGAATATGATTTTCATTTTTCATCAACTCTATTATATTCCATCAAATTATTACTTATTCTCAGGGCTGGTTTTACAGTTGTTGGGGTACCTAGCAATCAAATTTTTGAGGCCCCTATCAGTAACAACAAATTTATGTTATGATAAATAACTCTTTTCGTTTTGCTCTTGTTTCTTAAAATAACTAAAATATAAACTAACTTCTCGTGATTTTAGAGGACTAACTATCTCAATAAAATCTGTGCATTCTATTTGTTTTGTGGTGGGGCCAGGGCGGCTGCACAGTCACTCCCCCTTAAATTCGACCCTGCTTATTCTCGGTCCAGTTATACCAACTCTCGTCAGATAGCCTTGCTGCCCATATGAAATATTGAACAAAGAACGGAAGTACACTTACGCGATCACTGATTCGTGCTTCGTCGTTCTTTCCACGCTTCAGAGATGGCGCGCGAATAACTTTTCCCGCGCCCAGCGCCGGGTTCATGTTATCCATACCGTGTATTGATGCTGCATTCTCTGCCACCTAGTTGTCACTTCACTAACTGCAAACAATTCCACCACTTCTTAACCTGCAAACACATACATACACACATAAACATTAATACGTTTCTGTGAAGATGTCTCTTACGTACACTAATTAGATCTAAATGACTTGTGCTTGCACCGTCCGGGAATTTGACCCGGGTTCGAGCCCGGGTCAGGTCATGTGGGTTTTGTGGACAAAGTGGCACTGGGGCAGGTTTTCTCTGAGTACTTCGGTTTCTCCTGTCAATTCGTATTCCACCGATTGCTCCACAATCACCACCATCTATCTTCGGGTGCAGCAAGCAGAAGTACAAAATCATGAGAATGAATGTTCGCTCTATACGACAAGGCGAAGCCAGACAGAGAACTTGGAGGCGGTCAAGCCTACGACCGTTCGAGTGACGTCTGCCGTTGAAGCATAAGCTAAGACAGGCATGTCAAACTCAACTTGTACAGAGGGCCACCTCAGCCCTCTAAATAATAGTCCAGGGCCGTACTTCAGAATGGAAATATACATTAGATTTTGATACAAGGAAATTTAATTCTATTTATTATTTAGGAATAATTTCAATATAATTACCTAAAGTCACATATCTTGCAGTTTTAAAAAGCAAGAGAATGCCATTCTTGACAAGTATCAAACAACTTTTCAATATGTAATAAGAGAGATTACACAAGAAATTATGTTAGAAATAGCAAAACATTAAATTTCCTGCAGCCTGCTAATTTATGTCTGCGTGAGACTTCGTGTCTTCTGGTCTGTTGGAAAATTGTCTTTACAAAAATATTTCTACTACAATTTTAATATTGATTTTAATATCAATTAGCTCTAAAAGTTGAGGGGCCGCATGTTTGACACGGCTGAGCTAAGATATGCATCGTCTGCTCTGCAAAGCCTGAACTGACAGAGATACTGTATATAAGTATAAACTCAATATATATTTGTAATGCACATCTAACGAAGAGCCAAACGTTTCCAGAAGCACAAACTCAACCACCCGTCACAGAACATATTAAACAATGTATTTTTCTGGTGCCATGACAAACTGTTTGACCACAAATCGCCAGTCGTAAAGTAATTCGCTCGCCTTTTACGTTACTACCAGCGATCAAGCAGGCTAGTGTAGCGGTAACGCTCTAACTTGTATTCGGGAGGTGCTCGATTCGAACCTCGGTCGAGATACCTGCTATACTGACAGGTTTCTCGTTGTCTTTTTCAGTCCCTTAGGCAAATTCCTGGACATTACGTGGATTTGGCCATGACCACTCCCGTTAAAATCCTTTCCTATTCATCAGTCATCATACACATTCAATGCTATATAGTCCAGATAAGAGTTCTGCAACCGGTGTGTCACCGCAAGGCATCATGTGTGCTGCCAACTGTTATAATAAACTGCACATTTGCACACTGTAGTTACAAAATGACAATTAGTAAAATTAAATTATTTAACTTCGAATGCATATCAATCTGCTGAGATCTGTGCGCTTTATACTTCTGTAAATGTAAAAAATCCGTTCTCCTACTGTTACTGATTCAAAAATGCTAATTCATTAAGTACCAAGCCACGAAGACAAATGGGAAAATGAAGGTATAGCTCCAGTCATTCTTAACCTCGGCACTGGATTGAAGTGAGTGGGCGGCTTCACGCCCCGGCCGCTTTATCCTCGGGAAAAGAGACCCCGTTACTCATTAAATAGGAGGATGGGTGGGCCCCAGAACCGGTGTGGACGTTGTGGATAAGAGATAATCTCATTTTCCTGCTGGGAATCGAACCCCGACTCCTCGGTCGTCTAGCCCGTAGCCCATCACTGTACCAACTGAGCTATGTTACTGATACACGTACAGTTTTTAAAGTTGCTGGGTTATACATGCATGACAAGTCTTTTCTGTTCGAAGTACCTTCAGTGGCAGTACGGGATCGAACACTGTACCGACCGTATAGAAGGCCTCTATGAATCCATGTCTCTGCAACAAACCTGACAGGTGCTGTAATTCAGGTTATTCGGTGGCGCTTTTTATATTCGTGCGGCGCTAGTTTATCGTAGGGTAGATCATGTCCTTGCAAAGAAACCTTGATGGGTGGCGAAACATCTCCCTCCTGTCAAACTGATTTATTTCCTCCTGGCTCAGTTTCTTTATTGGCCTGTATAACATTTCAGCGTCATTATATCAATGTTCCTCTATACCTCCTCACTCTCACTGCTACAAGGGCGCATGTAGTTCCGAACCTGGTTGGGTTGTGAGTCTATAACCGGACCTCTCTGTCTGAAGTTCTGTTCGAGCCATTCGTGCCCATTCCTTCCACTGTCGTGAATTTGTTTCCGCGTTTTACGTACAACTTTTCCACCTTCTTACAGCTGTATTCCTAACTGGTTTGAAGATTGAGAACAGTGCTGGTCAAATATTTGTGATTTAACGCCTCCTAACTTCCCATTACATATGTTGTTTTGCATCATGGACAAATCTAAGTGTAACGTATATTTCACCAAATAGTACTACTAATGAAAGTGAAAGTACGGTGTAATCAGTCAGGAAAAAAGAAACTAAAAAGAGTGTGGGTCGGCAGTAAACCGATTAATTATTTGTATTTCTAGTACTGTCATGTCACATGTCCGATACCCGAGTGTCGTGTGTGTGTGTGTGTGTGTGTGTGTGTGAGAGAGAAAGAGAGAAGTAAAAGGTAAAGCTATCCCTGTAACAGGCCGTGAAGGTCCATAGGGTTGCGAGACGTCGAGGTTCCCACATGTTCTATACAATCGGCTCACAGATGGCGGTAAGGTTGTCAGCCTTACGCGCCGGCCGCCCTTCACCCCCAGGAAGAATCCTGGTACTCATTTCTGCTAGAGGCTGAGTCGACCCCAGGGCCATAGTGCGGCTGGAAGGATTAAGTAAACTGAAAAAATCAACCTCATAGGGACTACAACCCGTGACCTTCCGACTTGTAGAATAGTGCCTCAACCAACTATGCTACCGCGTGTCAGAGAGAGAAAGAGAGAGAGAAGTGAGAAACTTAGTAACAATGCTATGGTTCTAAGCAAGCTGAAGTGGCATTTTACAGCACGGCATTCTTCTCTGGCTAGCAAGGACATACCTGACCTATTTTCGTCGATCGACGTAAGAAAAGAAACAAAGCAGACAACGTTTACGACTTCATCAGTACGAGCTTCGGGAAAGGTCCAGGAAACTACTCATAAAATAGCTGAATTTATTTTAAAGTCATAAAATAATCGATATATTATTAATGCCTACTAGCAAAGCGATGGTGAAAATCGTTCTGAGTTCAGAAGCTGCTACAAAAGTTTCTAAAGTTCTCGTTATCAGCGGACAGTACCAGTCACCGAGTGACATGGGGGTAATTCTGAGGGACACAATTTCAGGAGTGACATCCATTTGGATAGACGAGTCTACTGTTTGCGCGAACTTAAGAGCACAAACTTGATACATCTGATGAAGACACGATCACAAGCAGCCTCTTCTTCTGCGAGGAACTTTTATAGCGAGCAATCGGTGACGAGATATTCTGTGTTACTGACAAATACTTTGGCGAAAACGGATTGAAATAAAAAGACTGCACAAGTGTCTAGACAAATGGGCAGTCATCGATGACAGTAAAGAAATCTAGTAACGAAAGCGCGTGAACTGAATCCAGAAATAAGATTTGGCTACTGCTTTATACATCACGAAGAAATTTTACCCGACACTGTGAACGTCCCCCCCCCCCATTAATTTAAGTTACAAAAATTGTTGGTTTCGGGACATTGCAGACTTTCAATTCACGGCTTTCCTCGATTTTGTGCCAAGAACTGGGCTCCGAGTGTTGTCATGTGGGGAAACACATTAACTCGTGGTTATGAACTTCGTGACGAGGTGCAAGCGTTTTCTACCGTTTCAGGAGCATGAACACGCCCAGTTACTTGCTGATAATGAGTGAATAGCTGAACTGGTGTACTTAACGGGTTTTTTTCGTTCACTTAAACAAACTCAACAGAAAAATGCAAGGCAAGAACGAACATATCCTGAGTTGTATGGATAACATTCAAGGATTCTGAAAGTTGTGGCTAACAAACATCGCCAAAAGGTCCACTGAGATGAGCCTAACAGTGTGCTCGCTTGCCGAAGCCGATTTGTGTCGCTGAAGAACGTATTAACATACCGCAATAAAAGTTTTCGGCCTACGTTTAAAAGAGTGTGGAATATTTCGACTGAAGAAAGCAGTCTTCTTGGATTTGGCACCGTGTATATGTGGTGTTAACCGACGTTTCGGAGGAACGTATCGCCTCCATCTTCGTCTGCTTTTACCGGTTCTCACGGTCTCTTCGCTTGCGGATTTCTTATATTGTTTTCCTTCTACCCTGAAGATGGAGGCGATACGTTCCTCCGAAACGTCGGTTAACACCACATATACACGGTGCCAAATCCCAAAAGACTGCTTTCTTCATAGCCACCGCCGTGAAAGCCTCAAATCTTACATATTTCGACTGAGTTCGTGGTCCGATCGGTGTTCTTCTAACATGTCCTCCTCTGGAAGCTCAGGAAGAATTCACGACCTTAGGATAGACAAAATCCTTAGACTAAAATGTCGTGAGCTATTAATAGACACATCTTGGCTGTCGGTAAAGGAAGGACATTCTTTGACTTCCGAGATTGTTTTAGAATTTCTTTCCCATTTTTGAGAACATGTTTACGCGAACTGGGGCTTTGACGGCGACGGGAACAGAAACCCCAAGGCGGAGTCACTAAGACCCACTGATGAAAAAATGACTTGTATTATCTGTCATCTCTCCGCGTATCGGTCATTTCTACTCAACAAAGCATACACAAATATCACAATTAAACGGCATAAAGAAACCCATCGATCGTTTGGCTTATACATATAATAATTTGCATGCCAGTTAAATATATTACATATTTTTTTAATTAAAAGTTGAAATATAATATTAAAACAATATCATAAGTCCTTTGATACAATTCATTTAGATTTCGATAAAATTGCATTATGTTAACGTCAGCCTTTCATAATTAGAGTAATACACTCATGCGTGC